GGATTCGACTGTAATTGGTCAATTTCTTACGGCTTAAGGCTTAAAACACCTATTGTAGATCCGGGGTTACTCGGACTTGTTCGGACTGCGCAACCCGTTCAATTGTTTCCCACGTTCGTGGGCGGTCCGGGTGAGCTGTAAAGCGGTACCACGCGCGGCGCCTTCGCCAGCCGGGCATGCGGAGGAGCGCGAAAGCGGAGCGGCGAAAGCGCGCGCGGCGCCGCGAGATTTCGCCTCCGTTGTCATCGTCGTTTTCATCTTCGTCTTCTTATTTCACCTGGCGTATTCTCTAATCGTTCGCCAACTATCGTCAGCTGTTCGACGCTTCAGTAACGGAATAGAGTCGATCGGGAGTCGAGACGATTCCGCTAGATCGCCAGACTCCGCCGAACGACGTGACGCGTGCGACGCTCCGAAATCCGGCGCGCCGACCGCTGGCCGACGGCTGACCGCTGACGTTCCGTTCATCGATAGGCGCTCTTGCGTGCACTCGCTTGCGCGCACGCACGCACGCACGAACGAACGCACGTCTGTCTCTGCCTCCCTGCGTCTTCTGCCTGCACTCGTAGTGCTTCGTAATCGTTCGTCCGTACGGTTCGTACGCTCTGGTACGCTCTCAGTTCTCACTCGCTCGGTGCTCCCGCTCGCGGTCGAGAATGACATATCGCGACGCGCGGGTGACGCGCGACGACCACGCACGCACCGAGAGGAGCGTCGTCGAGCAGCGTGATCGCGACGGTTGAGAAAGAAGAGAACCCGGAGCACGGGCTCATCCTTGTCGCACGGAATCGTCCAGCCAAGGCTCCGGTCGGACAATGGCAATCTCGAGCTGGATGATGTGGGGTAGAAGCCTCCGCCGATCCCGTCGAAGTGCGTGCACGGCAATTGCGATTGAATCGCGCGATACGATGCGCCCGGCAATTCACGTCTCCTCTCCTTGTGTCTTTTTTGTTTTTTTTTCTGATTGCAGGCCGCCAAGACGAGGACAGCTACGTCCAGCTCGATCTGTCAAGAGGTTAGTAACCTAACCTGCCTACCTGTGTGATCGCGGATCATTCCCTTTTCCCCTCTCCTCCCTCGAAAACTCCGCCGATCATCACCGTCCGAGTCCTCTCGCACTTCCGTATTTATTTACCTCTCGCCTGCGCAATGTTGCGCAACCCGTTGCTGCGTCTCAACCCCCCACGAGATCGACTACCGGTTCGCCGCGTGTTTGCAATGACGCGGATACCAACGATATCGAATGATGCGGGCCCCTTGCAATTCGAGAGTTTGGAAACGTATTCATATACTCGGCCTGATCTAAAAAAAAATTAGAGAAACAGAGAGAGGGTGACAGCGAGATCAGCTAGTCGATTCTACGTCAGACTTTATCCTATTTCCAGATCAGCCCGTTTGAGAATATTGCGCAATTACTGTAACTATCGGTTTTTTTTTTGCCCGAAAATCCACGAAGCATGATTCCAATAAACATTAATTAATAGTAATATAACAGAAATATTATATTA